TCTCTCTCTCTCTCTCTCTCTCTCTCTCTCTCTCTCTCTCTCTCTCTCTGTCTGTCTATCTATCTATCTATCTGTCTATCTGATCCAAAGAGACCATGCCCCATTGGTCCCTGCAAACTTTTCTGACTGTACTGCAGAAACTTCATAACTGTATGGTCAAGTTCTTTGTGTGCTCTGTGTCCCAGTGTAGAAAAGGGTAGAGCAAACTCTCATTTGGAATCGCTTTCAGTGGTCAGTTTTCACAGCTGTGTGATGTGGCAGGCATGGTGGGTAACTGTTGAAAATGGAAGGCATTCTAGTTAAAGGAGTTAACCATCTGTTCCAAGTGCTGAGCCTTCAGGCAGCGTCGGAACAGGCTCCTGGGGTCCTTATTCACTCTGATTTCTTTGTGGTTCTCAGCTTTAATACAGTTAGGAGCATTCTGAGATCCCTGTGTTCTAGTGACTTGTGCTATGTTTTGTGACGTCTTCAGCGTCTTCAGCGTGATGTCACCCTGTGCCTTTCTTGCAGGTTGACCTTGCTTACACAGCTGGGAAGCTGTATTTGATTCGCAAATTTGGCCTTCAGCACTCACAGGCGTGAAGCCCCTCATCTGCCACGCCTTTGCCGTACTCTGCAGCGTAGGAGGTAGTGCGCTTGCTAGCCTCCTCATGGTCATATTTAGAAACCATAGGCCAATTGGATATAACAGAAGCTATTTTCTTGTTTCTCTTCTTACCTGACAGGAATGTTGTGCTCATGCTTTACCAGAGTGTGTTCTGTGTACATGAAATTATTTTCTTTTTGCTCTTTCACGTTACTAGGTAAACTAGACCAGAGTGTGTTATTTACCAACTAATGAAAAGTTGTGTCTTGGTTCAGATCCCAGCTGAGCACTCTACTGTTACTGTGAACTAGAATTCATCAATCCCAGACTAGCAGAGCCGCACACTGACTGGTAAGAATGTGGCAGTACTGAAGGGCCTTAAACACACACAGAAGGCCACAAGCACCTACATTGTAGATTAAAAGAAGGCATCTCTATGCTTTCAAACACAGCATCTTAAGAGGAAAAGATACAGATAAGAAACATGAAGTTGGTTAAAAGGCAGAAATTTCAGAGCCCAGCAGAGTGGCTTATCCCTGTAATGCTAGTACTTGGGAGGCTGAGGCAAGAGGATTGCTGTTAGTCTGACACTAGCCAAACTATTCTGGACTACAGAGTGAGAACTGTCAAAAAAAATTATGTTAAAAAAGTAGCATTAAAAAGACAGCATTAGGGCTGGGGATATGGCTCGGCCACTGAAGGCCAGGTTCACCACCAAAATAAAAAGAAAAGGCCCTTCTACCACTCCACTAGCGAGCATCCAGGACTGGTTGGGGGGGCTTTCTTTCTTTCTTTCTTTCTTTCTTTTTTTTTTTAAGTGTTATTGAAGAACATAGTAAGGCAAAATGTGAAGAAGGCGATAGGTTACTCTGAAAATTGGGTGCAGGCATTTGATGCTAAGTGAGCTTTGACCTGCTTTGAAACAGTCACACGCATAACTAACAACTGCTGTCTTCCTAACAAAGTCACTGGTCTTGTTTGTGACGAAGTTCAGTTGGACATTATAAGACCAGTTTGGTGCTTTCACTGTGTGGAGAGGAAAACCTGTTACTTGTTCAATCTCCTTTCTGGAGACTGCCCAGAACTGTGTGTACTCCCAAAGATCCTCAGGGGTATCTGGTGTAAGTGTCCCTTCATGTACGGCCTGGAAAGTGATTTCAGTCTTCTTTAACTTCAGGAAAAGCCCTCCCACCCTCTGTCCCATTTTCCAAGCCCCCAATGATTATAAATTGTGTTTTCCTGTAACTACACACACAGCACAGTGTGCCGCGCACATGCAAAAGCGAAGGTACCGCCTTTCCATATAACCGGATAGAGAGGCATTTCTCTGCAGGCCATGGGCTGCTCTTTTTCTCCTCTGTAAAATTTCTAAATGTGATATTAGGTTTAGAGCCAAATGCTACCATTCTGCCACATATACACAAATATGATTTTTTTTCTCTCCTGTGATTTAACATAAATACTTTCCCAAATTATCTGAGTCACAGATGTTGACTCAGAATCTTGAAAAGGACAGTCTATACTCTTACTGTTCTGCTAAAATCAAATGAAATGTCCAGAGTCCACAGCTGACAAATATGGAGGAATCTCAGCTTTCTCAATGTGGCTGTGGGCTGCTGTCCAGGGGCGCAGTATTGTCTGACCTCAGAAGCAAGCTTCTGTAACTGTGGAGCCTGAGTACCAGCCACCTTGTATGTAAACTACAGCAGCATATTATCGCACTGCGTGTTGGTGAGTTCTCAGTACTGTGTTCACTAACAAAAGTTATTCATTAGACCGTGTTTTAAGAAAAAAGAAAAAAAAACTTAAACTGCTTGGATGACTGTGCTGCTGTGAAGTTGAGCGTTGGTTGGGGGTCATCACTGCTTCCTCCCTGGGCTAGGAGCGTGAGCAGTGCCTGGGAGTCTGACCGCATCACTAGACAAGCAGAAACAGAGTCTAGGCTGTCCTTGACAATGAGGAATACAAATGCTATCATAGCTTTCCAGGGAGTTAAGGAACAGGAGAGCTGTTTAAAGTGTACTTGGTAGAAGGCCAGTGGTCACCAACCAGTTTTTTTCGAAATCCTTGTTCAGCTATCAATAGAAAAAGTTCATTAGCAGGAATATTTATCTCCATAGACTGGAGAATTCCTAGAAAAATTCCACTCCTGGTTGTTATTCCTGAGTTTCTTTCTTTCGCTCTCTTAATCATCCATTCCTGCTCCTCCTCTGCGATGGAGAGCGGCTCCGTGTGGCTGTCGCTGCAGTCTGGTTCTGAGAGGTGAGACGTGCAGTGAAACCCTGAGACGCTACAGCGCCCGCAGTGTCACAGCTGTAGCTTAGTAAGGAACTGAGACAATAAGTCGTTGTTTTATTTGATTCTCACAAAATATTAAGAGGCAAGTAGCATCACTACTGTTTTCTCTGTGAAGAAGCTGCTGTCTGGGGAAGCTGAGCTGAACCCCCTAAGTTGCCCCTCTTTTAAGTGAACCACAGTAGAACTGGGATCTCTCTAAGCCCACTTATGCACATTGTATCTTCATCCTCTTTGTTATGGGTGAGAAAAGCAGCAGGCAGTTCCTGCCCAGCTTATCTGAGCAGCAGAGGCAGGCCCAGGGAGTAGAGCTCAGTGAGGACAGACGAGGGCTTGCCTTCTCAGGACAAATGGTGCTTAGGTGTCATAACTTGTGGGTGATTTTTATTTTTAAGGACTTGAGATTTGTTTGCTGTGTCTGCACTGTACTTGTATCCTGACAATATGTTAATTCAGGTGTTCTTCTTGACCAAGGTATTTTCATTATCTGTATACACTTTCCTACCCTGTGAAATGGCAGGCTGTCTGCTAACCTGTACTCATGTTGGAGTCACAGGAGAGACTGCTGCCTCTCTGCGCACGCTGCTGTTCTTTTGTTAAAGTCTGTTACTATTACACAGAATGCACACCTAGCTTCTGTTCTTTTGTTAAAGTCTGTTACTATTACACAGAATGCACACCTAGTTTTCTTCCCTCCATTGTTAGTAATTGCACACGGCAAGTACTGATGAATGAAATCTCTTCGGTAGAATCGGCACTACTGTTTGTGAATCTTGTTCACTGACTGAGTTCCTTTTCTCCCTTGAATATGTATGTATGAGCATCCCCGCTGTGTGCCATGTACTGTTGTAGGGGCTACAAGTTGGATGGGCAGTCTTCCCTCATGATCTTGTGTGCTAAGGTATTGAGACTGGCATTGAATGATGTCTTCCAGTAAGACATGAGGTTAGAGAAAGATGTGTGCAGGGGCTGGGGTTGAGTAGGAAAGTGAACCTCGAGTTTGACACTAGTACTAGACGATGAGAAAACATAGGAGGTGGACCCCCACCAAGAACCCCAGAAAGCACAGACAATGACCCCCAGTTTGTAATGTACCTAAGAATTCTCTCTAGGTTCTATCCAGAGATTCTGTTTCATTTGGTGTAGAGGAAAGCCTGAGAGTCTAGGTCTGAATGAGCTCCCCAGGAAATTCTATCCAAGCAGTACTGGGACATAACACTTTGTTTCCTATCTGCAATTGTTGGCAGCAGTTTAGTACCCATAGATAAAGTCTTAGTGTGGCAGTGGTAAGGTTTGTAGTTTCTGAGTCACTGTGAGGAGGGCAGCTTCTTAGGAATGAAAAATCTGAGGCCATTGTGTCTTACTCTCTCCTCCTAATCTCTCTCTTGTTGCTTTAAGAAAACGATTTCCAAAAATGCAAAACTAAAGCTAATACCATAAAGTTAAAGAAAGGCCTTTTTAGAGGTGAGGATGGCCTTTTGGTAGTGTTGTAGGATAAATAACTGAGGCTATTACTATGTCCTGTAATGCACTGACATTTCCTGGCTCAGAGGAAACCAGGACAGCTTTGACAAGTATACTGACTCCGTCCTGAAGTGTTGGGATTATTTCAAGCACAGCTAGATATGTGTGGTGGGACTCACAAATAATTTGAGTTTACCAAGAGAAAAATTATGGAAATAACATATTTTAAAAATTCACTTATTATATGTCTATATAGTTTTGTTTAAATAACTTTCTGATGAAACAAAACTGCAATTCCGAGGCACTTTCAAGCTGACAGAAAATGGACAGCCTTCGCCTTAGCTGGCAGCAACTGCCATGTCCCAGCAACTTGGCTGGACTTGTACCTGACTTTCGACATGAGGTGGTATATCAGAACTGTTTCTCAGTACTTGAGCTATGAATTTTAAGAGTCTGATAAGTGTTTGGACCTAGTCTTTTTCTAACTCAAGAGGTTCGTCACTGCTTGGTACCTCTGCAATGGGACTTTGCTTCTCAAACTAATGTAATTTTTACAGAAAAACTCAGAATCAGTGGGTCTTTTTATTCAGTATCTCCTTTCCTTCCTCTCTTTCCCATCCTCTCTTCCTTTCTTTCAGTTTTTTGAGGCAAAAGCTTCCTCAATAGTCTAGTTTCTACGGAGCTTTCTTACTTATTTTTCTAATAACAGGTGTAACCGAATGGTAACATTTAACTGCTCTGTGAGCAGACTTGTCTCAACCAACCTGAAGAAATGTGCTGCCTACTGATGTTTCCTGTGTCTCTCACCCATGAGCGGACTTTCTCGTGTATGTAGTTTGTCCATGTGGTCGTCAGCAGTGTTGTACTGTTGTCACGTATTTATATGCACTTGATCAAAACTCGACATGACAAGTGTGTGAGCCATCCTTCTGTAGCGTGGACGGCTGAACTGCCTTCGTGTTGCTGGAGTGGCGCTGTGCGTCGTTGCCTTTAACTCTCACACCTTCCTTTGTGCTCTCTACACCGACTGTCACGGTGCCTTTCCCTTTTGTATAATTGTATTACATAAAGAAATTGCTGACCTGCGTGTAAAAATGTTAAAATTACACCAGTCCACGGATATTTTAATGGCAGTTCAATTTTCCAGAGAATAAATTTTTGTGTGCATTAAACGTTACTTTTCTTCACATTTATGTAAAATAAAAGTATTCCAGTTTTAGCACTCATGTGGATGGATAAACATCATCTTCTTTGATGGTGATACATAAAATTCACCTCTAATTCTCACTGGCATCGAAGTGTTAACATGGCTGTTATGCAGAAAGAGCTAATGTCATTTACCTATACAAATATCAAGTAGGTCCGGATGTCCCCAAGATTGGGTTTGAAAAGAATCATATATGCTATCAAATACTGTTGTCAAAATATTTGGATCATATTTTTTTTCACTGGGAGTCAAATCTGACCACTGAAGAAAAGAAGACTCCAGGCAAACATTTTAAAATGATTCCTTGAAAGTTCATATAAATCAAGGAAGGAGTAAGTTGTTTGAACAAGCGGAGCTCCTTAGCTGGAATGTGGCATGGATCCTATTACCTAGCTTCGTCCTCGCTGGCCTCGAGCCTGTCCTCGCCCCCGTGGTTCCTGTTAACAAGCCCTTTCTAAAGGCAGCAGTGCAAAGTAGACTGTCTGCCAAAGCCCTCGAGTTCAGGCTCTTTTCATGTTACTTTACCGTGTCTACTTTGTTTCCAGGATAGCAGCCAGTTTAACAAATACTTAACCTTTTGGTGCTTTAGTCTGACAGAAACTGAGGTTTCCATATAACCTTATTTCTGATTGATTGTCTCTGAATCCGAGTTCCATCAACTGACCAGCCTTTTCTTTTCCTTTCACTTTTTGAGATAGTGGAGCACCAACCAGTACCTACTCGGTCTGGTTTCTTTTCTTTTTTTCTTTTTCTTTCTTTTTTCTCTTTTCTTGTTGTAAGGAGTCATTTTATTATACACAATGGAAATACATTTCTACTCAAAATAAATATATTCATAACATGCTCCTCAGCCACAGCAAAGTACTTTGTCTCTTTTTCTAGTATCCACTGGTTAATTCTCCCACCCCAAAGGTTTGCTTATCAGTGTTCTCAAAGTTTCTGAATTCTAAACAATGCCTCAATTGGGGTTGATTTGTTAGTTATTTGGTACTTGGAAAATATGCATGAGTCATGACTTCCTCTTTCCAGAGAATTACAATAGATAAAAGGTGAAATTCCAGCAGAGAGTTGGTCCTTCTGCGGTCTCGGTCTCGTAAGTTGTCATTTTCTACTATTAAAAGATACAGTTACCACCACAGCATGTTATTCTGAAGGTTACATCTTAATTGCAAGTTGTTTGTAACTCCTTTCATCTCCAGCATGCCAAACAATATTTAAGTCAATTCTTCACTCCCAAGACTATCCAAATATTCTTTAATGTTTCTTATTTGAAAACAAATTCATTGCCAACTTAAAATTACAAGACCTTTGTAAAAATGTGAAATATTTCTTTGGCTGGTGCATGAGAATGAATTATAAAAGTATAAATCACTAAATGTGAAGTAATTAAATGCCACACAAAGGGGGATAAATAACAGTCATGAATTTATTTAACATGTTGTGTGTCTGAGAAAGGTGCTGTTGTCTGGAGAAATCTGCAAAGTTCTAGTGTCTGTAGCTGAGCACCACTGCAAGCCATCCATGTTGGCAGTTTTCTAGATCTTAGCCACCCTAAGAGTTGAGGAGCAGATCTCACTGGTAAGCAGATCTCACAGGTAAGGTGGCTGGCCAGCAGGCGCCAAGAATCTGCCTATCTCTACCTAAGCCTCCATGCCTCGCTTGCTGTTCCTTTTTAAGTTCTGGCCACGTTGAACAGAAGCCAGGGAACTCAGGGAAGTTTCAAGCTTTCTGACCTGAAAATGCGGCTGGCGAAGCATGGAATTGTGACACTGGGTGGGTGGCTGAGCTCATCCCCTGGCACTCCCTGACATGTGTCTGTGGAGTTTTCCTTCCACCTCTTCCTGCTTGGTGGAAAGATGCTCATTCCCAGTGTATCCTCTTCACACATCTGCACTGTACCACACTGAGGCCTTCTGACCGCCCTGCTGCCCATGTGTCCCGTTCCCCCAGGTCCCCAGAGACATCTCCTGTCTTCAGTCCATGATGTCGACACCTTTGCCCTCCCGCATTATGAATGTCTTTCCTTTTGGTTTTTGACTGACTGGTTAAAACCTTTCGGTTCTAACCAAATTTCACATTTGCCAGAATCTGGATGGGATTTGTTACATACCTGAAGCATATAGCTTAACTGATACCTGTTAAAAAGGCAGCATTTAAAAACATGTTTTGGGATGAAGCTCAGTGGGAAAATGTCATAGTATATGTCCAACTCTCTGTTACTAGAACTGTAAAATAATTAGAAGACACCAAGAATGTGCTTCATTGTAAAGAACTTGCCAGGACTATGGGAGCCCACGAATTCAAGCTGCAATAGTGATGAAAGAGGCAGCTAAACTGCACCCCAGAAAGTCTCCGTAGGGTGTAAAGGGCTTCCGTGATGAACACTGTGCTCTCGCAGGGGGCCCCTCCCCTCTACCACCAGGGCCATAAGCAACCTCTGGCTCTCTGTGGCCCTCTCTCTTGTCTTGTGCCTTTAATTTATGTTGTCTGCTGTTTCTCTGGTGTTGAGTGGCCGAACATTAATTAGCAGTCACATGCCTTGGCAGGTACCAGTGTTACCTGTGATCCTTTGACAAATAAGCCCCCTTGGTAATGCATAATCACACCTACAAGACATGTCCTGTGTCCCTTGCTGTGCACGCTCACCTCGGACTGTTCTCAGTTGCTCTAGCAGAAACATGCAGTCTGTGCTATCTTCAGCTACGTCCACTAAGCAAAGGCCTTAAAGATTCATTCATTTTGTTGCATTTTTTTCTACCTCATTCATTTCTGTGACTAAGCAGTATTCCCTTGTGAATATCATACTGTGATTTCTTGTCCACTCCCTTCTCTGGTTTTCTGTTGCTACATATCTAGCTGCCGGAAGCTAAGTGACTCTAGGAGACTGGCCAGTCTTCCATTCTGTGCATCTTACAAGAGGAACGATTTCTCAGTTTACACGGCATTGCCTGGGCTCCTCAAAGGCTAGAAGTACCTTGATGGCCAGACTGGATTCATCTTAAGAGACTCCCATATGTCCAGCGGTTGGTGCTGGCTGTAGCTGCACATATGGCTGCTTGCTCTACTTACATCTGGAGGTGGAGCTGCAGGCATAAGCATCCCACAGGAACAAAGCAGAGTGTGTGGCAATCCTACACCTCTCTCAGCACAGCGTTCTTTACTGTGGTCGGCCACTAGAGTCCTGTCCCGGACCAGAGGAGCAGAGCAGACTGCACACGACCCCTCAGAGGAAGAGTCAAATCTCCGTCTCTCTCGTGGCCACACAGTTCATATCCTCACAAAATTCACCTAAGCTCCTTTTCAGGACTACTGGTCTCTACCACAGTGGCATTTTCTGTCAGAGCCAAGTATGGACGAGGCTCCATGAGAGGCGTTCTGAGGAGCTGCTGTCTGGAGAGACAGACTACATGTTTGTCGATGTGCATCTGGTACGCAGGAGTGAGACAGTACAGGGTGATCCAGGTGAGCCCTGCTGAAGAAGGCGGCCTCCCCGCCAGTCTCTGCTCCCATCACTGCCATCCACCTTGCAGGGGCGCAGTTACTTCAAGACAACTTCCTGATTTCCCAATCTGAGGGTGGAGGGAGACAGTGACCCCTTTCTGTGGTACTCTGCATTCCTCTTGATCCAAGCTACAAACTATTTAAAACCATAGGGAGCCAGGCGGTGGTGGCGCACGCCTTTAATCCCAGCACTCGGGAGGCAGAGCCAGGTGGATCCCTGTGAGTTCGAGGCCAGCCTGGTCTACAAGAGCTAGTTCCAGGACAGGCACCAAAAACTACAGAGAAACCCTGTCTCGAAAATAAAAAAAAATAAAAAAAAAAAAAACCATAGGGAATTTTGTGTGTTCAATTCCACCCTACTTTACCAGGAAAAAGACACATTCACCAGTCACTCTGAGCTTTCTGCCTGGCACTTTCAGGATATCTGTGAGATATGACCATCCAAAGTCCAGGCGCCCTGCTGTTTAATAGAAAGGCTCTTCCTTTGATTTGTTATGTCTGAGAAGGTTTAGACTGTGTGAGGTCTTACCAGCTCTGCAGTTACACACTTGGCTTCCAGTGTGGCTGTGGCAACCTTATAGCTCCGTTTCAGCCTCACTGACCATCTGGAGAGCTTATGGATGAAGCCCAGCGAGTCCTGACCCTCAGGTCTGGCCCTTCTCCCCTCATTCCTCTTCTTGTGCACAGCCAGTCAGCATTCTGCCTGCGGATCTCCTGGCCCAGGTGACTGACTGCACCACTACATAACGAAGATTTGCTTCGCCCCCAGTCTCCAGTAACACATTTCTCACTTTCTTTCCAATTCTTGCTCCTGGACTCTAAAAGGTCCATACTGCCAAGTCCATGCTCCGGGCACAGAGGCTTGAAAGTCCAGCATTTCTCATTCTGCAGGCAGTCGACAGTAATACCCGCATCTAAAATTTTTGTGCCTGAATTTCCAAGAGAAGTTCTCAGAACCGCAGAAGTGTGGGATGCTCCGCAGCCCAGAGTCGTAAGTCTGAGTGTCTGTTCTGTTCACTACACATTGATGTAGTCACAGTGTTCTCCCCAAGTACAAGTTGAGGGAATGTCGGTGTCCAAAATGACACTGTTATGGGGGAGTGAAGTCTCACACATTGCTGTTAAGAGTTATTATTTAGTTTTAACCTATAGTTTTGGTTTTGGTTTTGGTTTTTGAGACAGGGTTTCTTTGTGTAACAGTCCTGGCTATCCTGGAACCCGCTCTGTAGACCAGGCTGGCCTTGATCTCACAGAGATCCACCTGTCTCTGTCTCCCAAATGATGGGATGGGATGTGCCGCCACCACCCAGCTAAAGTGTTCTTAAATGTTATTATTTTAAGTATATATGCTTGTAATTATATATGTTTGTGCCCATAGTGGCTATAAGAAGACAGTGGTTCCCCAGGGGAGCTGGAGCTACAAGCAGTTATAAGTCACCCAGTGTGGTTGCAAGAGCAGCAAGTATTCCTAACTGCTGAGCCTTCTCTCCAACCCCCTAAAGAGTTCTACAATATTTTGAACAAATCATCTCTTGAAATATTGTTTGAATCTGTATGTAGTTCTAATCATCAACCCCTTAAACATTATTATATATGTAATTGAATGCATTGTCTACTTTAACTATCAGTTACAATGCTTAGATTACCACAATCAAGAAGAAAATTAAAATTTGCTGGCAAGGGGTAGAAATTAGTGTTTTTCCAGCACCCTAGCACCTGCCAGCAATCTTATGAGACCTTGGTGCTGTTAATTATTAATGCTAGCATGCTTGATTGAACATCACTGTGAAGAAAATCAACTCATACACTTCTCATGAATTAACCAGAGTGTGACATTAATTATATGCGTATTTCTTATAAGAACTACTCTAGTAAGGATCTCTTTTGCCAAACTCTGTATCCAAAAAGGTACTGACTTGATGCTTTTAAAGACTTTCTTTCTAATTTTACTTAATTGTATTCATATGTATGTGAGCATGTGCTTGTGTATATGAAGCACGTGTGTACAGGTGCCCACAGAGGCCAGCAGAGGAAGCCAGACCCTCTGGGGGCTTGAGTTCCATGCAGGTGTGAGCTACCCAGCATGTATGCTGGGAACTGACCCCAGCTCTTCTGCAAGACCAGCAAGCGCTCTCAATCACTTGAGCCATCTCTCCAGTCTCTTGATTTTTTTTTTTAACAGCATCTCTCAGTGTAGCCCAGATTAGTTTTAGCACTTACAATCCTTCAGTCTCAGCCTCTTGGAAACTGGAATTACAGGTGTGTACCACTATGCCCAGCTTCAAGTATAGACTTTTGAGAAATTGAGAAGTGCTCAATATACAATTCTATTTTATTATTATTATTATTATTATTACTATTGTTATTATTATCTCTCTACTTACTGAGTTTTTCCCTTCTTGTCAGCTCCTTACCTCTCCCAGCAGGAAGGACAAGAAAAATGATAGAAATGTCAGCAATAACCAGTGTTTCTGGTTGGAAGCACACAGAAGAGCAGTCTCACTTGCTAAGAGAGTGAAAGAAAGTCACGAGAGCACCAGGAGGTAGGTGGTCAGACAGCTTCGGCCCCTGGGCATTGTGCTCACTCCAGATAGGGCGCCTCACTTCTAGAAGAACAAATCACAACAAAGCTGCTCCATAATCGATTACCGACCTGTTAACTGAAAGTCAGCATGCTTTGCTAGAGTGTTTCTCCTCACGCTCATGTGTCAGTGAATTGCCAGCCACAGTCACAGGCTTGACTTTAAAACAGATTCAAAGAAAATTTCACATGCTTGCATAGCAAAGAAATACACCTACAACGGCTGCTCCCAGATGGGCCCATGGCTATGCAGGGAGGAATTCCTGTCCTCCTAGAATGGCTGCTTCCAGATGGGCCCAGGGCTATGACCAGGAATGCCTGTCCTTCCTCCCCTCATGGCAGAAGGAAGGAAGCAATCATGTGAGTGTCCAACTTGCAAGGGAAAGCACAAGAACAGTTTGTGGGTGCGTTTGTAGAGCACAGTGGGTACCCTTCTCTTCTGCTATGTGCAGTCCCTCAGCAGGCAGCCGGGCAGCTCCCAAGTCTCCTCTCCTTGCTTTAAGCATTAACCCATTTCTCAAAGTCTTACGGGATTTTGTGAATCTTTGATTGACTGTTCTGTTACTGAGAACATTGCCAAGGCAAGAATCCTTTAGCTTACCCATGTTGTCAGTAGTCTGCAGGAAGCCTTAATAGGTAAGAGTGGATTTGGCTCTGCGTTACCCAGAGTTCTGGTCTTTGCTTGACTCCGAATGGGTGCTTTCATTGTCTTCCCATTCTCGCTACAAACACACTCATTTGCCTCCCAATGGTGTTATTTCTGCTCCCTTGATTTTGATTTTGCTCTAAATGGGTTTCTCTTTGACAGCAATAGAGTGAAATGTCTTGAAAGGGAAATGTCTTTGTGTGATAGTTTTGAAATACAGTGCCTGCCAGACTGGATTGATTGGAGCGCTGAATGCAGCAGTGTTGATATTAAGTGAAGGATTATATTCCAAAAACCTCTGAAATCATACATGACTCACAGTCTGTATTTCAGGATGTCAGGTGGGGGATCATGATATGAAAATGAAATGCTAACCAAAAATAAAAGTAACCCGGGAGGTGCTGCACACCCATAATCCCAGCAGTCGAGAGATGAAAGCGGGAAGATCCAGAGTTCTGCTGCATGTGAGTTAGAGGCCAGTCCAGGGCAAGCGAGGTCGTGCCTCAAGAAGAGCACTCGTGGGCAAGCCAGTGGCTCTCAGGCTTCATTCCTCAAAGCCCATTGGGAATGGCTGTCATTGTCACTCCAAGCACACTGTGTTCCCAGTAAAGTTTTTCTGATCTCTTCTTGATTTGGACTTTGCCTCTGGGAGCAGCGGAGTGCAGTGTCTTAAGCATCCAGGGGTCAGGTGCCGAGGACCAATGGTGCCGAGAAGACTTCAGCTTGTTGGTTCTGTTGATGGATCTCAGACTTTCTTGTGCCTGGCAACTGCTGGTAAAGGGCACGTTGGAAAACACCCTCTGCTCACAGAGAGAGCAACAGGAGTGTGCAGTGTGGAAAAGAACCATCCCTTTCCAACTGAGTGCGAGTGTGAGGGTGTGGGCCACGTAAGATGAGACTGCGAGCTTGTCTTAAAGTGCTTTACCTCAAAAATCACTCCACAGTTTATGTGCACAGACTTTCCCAAACACATCCCAAACGGCAATTCTGACTGGATCTGTGCATGCTTTTCTTCCATGTCATCGAATTCCCTTATTTAGGTTTTAAAGTCCTCTAAATGCCCATTAAGAGCTTGGTTGCTAGTGCTGTTGGGACTTTTTGAAGTTTTTGGCCACCACGATGTTGTGCTTCCGTGCACCCCGAGTAATGACCCCAACTGATCCCAATCTGAAGGCTCTGACCTGTGGGCCTAAATCAATCTCATCTTAGGTGGGCTCTCCCAGGTGATTGTCACAGTGCTACAAACCTAGTACGTCCTCTCCTGGTCTCTTCCAGAGGAGGAACTCCTGCTAAATAAAGTACCATGAACTGGGGGCCAAAAACCGATGTCACCAAGAAACTCATGGCACCAAATGTACTCTAGCAGCCTCAGGCACTGGGAAACTGTGTGCCCTCCACAGGCCTAAAGTACGTTGCCTAATTTACTTTACTTTACTTTACTAAATTTAATTTACTAAAGACTGGAATGTTTATTAATACATTAAATATTCTCTAAAATCACTTCAGTAAAGTTTGGAGAGGTGGCTTAGTCAGTAAATGCTTGCTACGTATCTATGATGGCCTGGGTTAGATTCCCAGCACTCAAACAGAAGTCAGATCAAGCACAGGCCTGTAATTCCAGCACTGAGGAGGCAGAAACAGGTGCATCCCAGGGACTTGTTAACCAGCCTAGCTAGGGAAATTGGTAAGCTCCAGATTCAGTGAGAGACTCTCCAGAAAAATAAGGTTGACAGCAATTTAGGAAGCCATCAAGAGTGGCCTCTGGCCTCTACACAACTGAACGTGTTTGCTTCCCTTCTAGCGTGTATATACACAGACACTTAAATTCAATATTGGTACGTATTCACTGAACAAAGTTGTTTATACGGAATGTTTGACTGGGCGGAAGCTTCTCTTTATCACTGTTACTGCTAGAATCTTCTTCGGCTGAGTTGGGTTCAGAGGTGTGAAATTATGGAATTGGGCAGCTAAACTTCCATTTCGTCTCTTTGTGCCTGCTGCTTTCTTTACATGGTGGCAGAGGAGCCCCTTAGTGGGGAGAAGAAGAGAAAATACACTTCTACAACCCAGTGAGGACTAAGAATGAAGTAGCATTTCTGATGAATTTGTCTTGATCCCAGGAAACAGGAATGAGATCTCAACAGCAAAGGGGAATGTATCTTAATTATCTATTGACTAATAAATCCAAGATGTATTATTTTAAAACAATTTTTTTTGTTTTGCTTATATATCTATGAGTCAGAAGTTAGGGAAGGATGAAATCCATGATGAAATGATACCACTACTTCAACCATAACACCCGAGTCTTCTCAGATACCCACTCCGCCTCCACACAGCTGCATGGGTATCTTCAGCTTGCATAGAGCGTAGCAGTGTTGCTGTTGTTAATGAGGCAATAGATGGGGCTCCAGGAACAAGTGTCTTGTAAATTTGGTTGAAGCTGCAAACTGTGTTCTGACCTAGACTTCTAGTCCAGAGCGTCGCTTCTGCACCATTGCAGTAGTCAGGCAAGCTAGGCCAGCTCCACTCAAACAGAAGGAAAGAAACGGTAATTTCTGGAACTGGGTGTTGTGGAATATTATTTTAACTGGGCAAAGAAGTGTTACATTTGTTTATTCTGTGGAATATTACTTTAACTGTGTCTAGGTGTGTTATTTTGTTTATGCTGCATTTATTTAATAATGTAAGGGCGTGAATTTAATTATGTAAAGATGTGCTAAATCTGTTTCGCTTTGCCTGCCTAAGGCACCTGATTGAGCTAATAAAGAGGTGAATGGCCAATAGCTAGACAGGAGAAAGGATAGGCAGGGCTCACAGGCAGAGAGAATAAAGAGGAGAAGATGTCTAGGCTCCAAAGAGAAAAGAGACCAGAGGTGGTGGCACACGCCTTTAATCCCAGTACTCGGGAGGCAGAGACAGGTGGATCTCTGTGAGTTCAAGGCCAGCCTTGTCTACAGAGCAAGTTCCAGGACAGAATCCAAAGCTACAGAGAAACCCTGTCTTGAAAAACAAACAAACCGAAGGAGGAGGAGGAGGAGGAGGAAAAAGAGAAGGAGAGACTGAGAGATGCGTAGACATGCCTGGGAGCAGGAAGCCAGGCAGCCTCCAGCCAGTTAGATGCAGAAGTAGGGAAAGCAAGTTGTGTGGAAAGAAAAGGTGAAAAGCCCTGAGGCAAAAGGTAGATTAAAAAAAGAAGAAGAAGAAGGAGGAGGAGGAGGAGGAGGAGGAAGAGGAAGGAGGAGGAGGAGGAGGTTGAGGTTGATTTAAGTTAAAACAGCTAGCCAGGAACGTGCCTAAGCTAGGTCGAGCACTCAAGACTAATAAAAAGTCTCCATGCCATGATTTATGAGCTGGTTGGTGGCCCAAAAGAAAAGCCTAGCACTGCTGAGATGGGGTCTCCTCTTTTTTTCCAAGGGTTCTGGCTTTAGTAAATGCTCTATTGCTGTGAAGAGACACTGTGACCATGGCAACTCTTTTAAAGGAAAACGTTGTACAGTTTCAGAGGTTTAGTTCATTATTATCATAGTGTAACATCAAGGCAGACATGGTGCTGGAGAGAGAGCTGAGAGTTCTTCATCTTGATCTGTAGGCAGCAGGAAATAAACTCTACCACACTGGGCACAGATTGAGCAGATATGAGACCTCAAAGCCCACCCCACACTGACACACTTTTGCCACCAAGACCAAGACCTCATCTCCTGTAGGTGCCACTCCTCGTGGGCCATGCATTCAAACCCGAGTCCATGGGAGCCATACCTACTCAAACAACCACAGGTTCCCAAAACAAGAGTGTGTGTGCATGCAGTGTGTGTGTGTGTGCGTGTGTGTACATATGTACAGGTAGTGTGGAAGCCAGAGATCAAGGTCAGGCATCTCCTCTATTGATCCTACCTTTCTTATTTATTTATTTATTGTTTGTTTGTTTGTTTACTTATTTATTTATTTTTAGAAAGGCCTCCTCCTGTCTGAACCTGAGCTAGACTGGCCTGAAAGCCCCATGGGACCTCCTGTCTCCACCTCCTTGGCACGGAGATGACAGATATGTGTCCCTGTACCTGGTTTTGACATGTGATGGGATCAAACATACGTCCTCATGCGTTCACAGCAGGCATTTCCCTGACTGAGCGTCTCATAAGCCCCAAGAACTATAAAGTCCAGGGGAAAGGTGTTTGATTCCTACAACTATAAGGAATAGTTCATCCCAACCCAATTGCTTTTGAACTTGAGCCATTCTGTGGAAACTATGTATTTATGAGTATGTATAAAAACATCCTTCAGAGTAGAGGCATCTTAGGTACAAGAAACTACTGAACATAACAAAACACAGCATTCTGCCACTCACCTCGTGGGCTCCTGATGTCCCAGAGACCGTGGACATTGACAGAATCCACTCCATTCCACACATGACCAGTGACCTTAGAAGTGGCATCAAATGGGCCATAGGTACAAAGGTTGAGGATCCAGAAAGAGAAAGACTGGCATTCTCCTATGCACAGAACAGGGCAGCTCAGGAAGAAGTAGAAAATGGTGTATGTATGTATGTACACGTGTATGTAAGTATGTGTGTGTTGTACATATGTATTTGTGTATTCTGTTTTGTTTTGTTTTTTTGAGACAGTTTCTCTGCATAACAGCCCTGGCTGTCCAGAAACTTTCTCTGTAGACCTGGCTGGCCTCAAATTCAGAGATCCACCTGCCTCTTCTGGAATTAAAGGCATGTGCCACCACTGCCCAGCAATATATATATTCTTAAGTATTTTCAAGAATATCTAGAGAGACCAGGCAGTGGTGGTGCATGCCTTTAATCCCAGCTCTTGGGAGGCAGAGGCAAGTGGATCTCTGTGAGTTTGAGGCCAGCCTGTTCTACAAAGCAAGTTACACAGAGGAAGTCTGTCATGGAGGAAAAAAAAAGAAGAAGAAGAAGAAAAGAATGTCTGGAGAACATAACTTTTCTGCTTCAAATACAATTTGAATGTTTGCCCCAAAAGTTATTGCATTAGATACTTAGTCCTTAGTGAGGCAATGTGGGAAGGTAGGGGGACCTTTGGAGTTGGAGGCTCTGGGCTAGTTTAAAGGCATTTGCCTGGCAACCTGAGTTCAATCTCCAGAACCCACAGTGGGAAGAGAGAACTAACTCCTGAAAAATGTCTTCCACATGTGTTATGGCATATGTGGCATGTGATGTGTGTACACATGTGCATGTGCACATACACACACAGACACACAAATGAAAAGGGAGTTGGAGGTCCTTCAGTTAGTGGAGGGCTTACTCTTGGGAGGGGTTTGGACACCATGGTTTTACTGTGGCCTCACCCTCCCACATACACTCTTGCCATGATAGAGTTTTCCTTCCTGAGGCCTTTACTAAAGCCCAGCTAATGTTTGTGTCCTTGAACCTCCAAAACTCTGGGCTAAATTAACATATTTTCTTCACAAGGGAACTTTACTCTGTTATTTCAATACAGAGAAGAAACTAATTCAAGACCCTTTTCAAAAACCTCAAACTGATCAGAGTGTTTGCTATTTGAGACTAGCTCATAATGTGCAAAAAGACACAGCCGGATTTGTGCTGTGCACCTATAATCCCAGCACTCCAGAGGCTAACACAGGAGGAACGTGAGTTCAGGGCCAACCTGAGTTATACAGTGGACCCTGCTTTAAAACAATAACAATCAAATGTGTAGACAGGTTCTGATACCGAATGGAGGAGTGCTGATAGACACTGCAAGTGACATTTCTGTGTCTGGATCTTGTTTATTAACTGATAAAGTTTAAAATACATAAGTTTTCTGTGCATGAGAACATGTGTATAAATCCTTGGGACTCACAAAATCTGACTCTGCTAAGGGTGAGAGGTGGCGAGAGCAGGCACTGGAGGGTGTGAGGACTTGGTGGTGCCAGCTCAGCTCTCAGGCTCAGTGACGTGGGGAGTGTAAGTGTGGGACAGCAGCGTCTTCTTCACAGACCTGTGCAGATACTCGTACACACGCCTCACACACACAAAACTACTTCTGCTGAATTTTACAGAGAATTCTAGTAAAAGGTGGGGTTCCTACTCTCAGTGTCTAAATATTTAATGAGTTAAAGAGAGACAGAAAAAAGTGAAGCAGTTTTGGCTCCTTTTGTTTTAGGAAGATTTATGCAGTATGAGCCAGAGGACTTGAAACATGGACATTTTTCCGTGTAGCACAAGAGATGAGAGCCACTGAACACTAAGGACAACTAGAAAACCCTCAAGCCCAAAGAATGGTGAAGTTGGTACAGATACATATTATCTTAAGGGATGTCAGCACATAGTGGAGGCTGTGAGGAGCCCTGTGATACAGATCCGCACTAGAGAGGTCCATGTAGGTCTGTCTAGTACACATTCTCTTGATGTGGTACAAGGTGTCCGTCAGTACAGCTCCTGGCCTAGTTAACTCTCTAGAAACCCGGCGAGGAAGGGTAGGAGGGCAGCAGTGCGGCAGCCGGTCTCTGCCCGCTCAAAAGTGCTGAGGATTTTACACCTGTAATAGAAGCTCACAGGGGTACTCGAAAATGATAGGAAGACAAAGTGGGAAACCATGGGAAAGCTATAAAATTTGTCCAGTGGGATCTAGCAAATCATGGGGAGTTTACACAAACTGTTTATATGGCCATAAACTGCTAATGCGATTGTGAGTAATGGGTGAGGTCTATGTGTTTGTTTCAGGCCTAATTGGAGTCATGCATCTCAGACTATTAATAATAGAAAGCTCTTTCTTCAATTATATGTGCCATGTACCTGCTCAGCCTCATACAGAATCCAAGCAGCTCTTCAGTAGTGTGCAATGGAGCCGTTTTCCAGTTTGCCACTTCTTAGAGCAGGTGATTTATGTGTTGGTTTTCTCTAAGCAGCTGCCAGGTGCTAGCTCTGTAGATGGAGACTGTGCTTTCGTTTCCTGGCCACCCAGACCCAAATGATCACACAAAAACTATATTAATTCCAACAGTGTTTGGCCAATAGTTCAGGCATAAGCTAGCTCTTACATCTTAAATTAACCCATTTCTCTAAATCTGTGTATCACCATGAAGCTGTGGCTTACCAGTAAGGTCCTGGCATCCTTCTCCTTGAGCAGCTACATGGCATCTGCCTGACTCCGCCTTCTTTCATCCTGTATCTCTGCTTGGATTTCCCACCTTGATATGTTCTGCCCTGCCATAGGCCAAAGCAGCTTCTTTATTAACCA